GACCACGCTCTCTGTAGCCACAAACTGCTGCTTTGTAGACGTGCAGGTGCTGTGTCAAGTGATAAATGTGGCTTAAGGGCTGGGTGGACGTGTGCTCTAGAGCTACTGAGGCATCTTGGTAGTAAAAAAGCTTTTCAGAGCAGCAGTAAGCAGCTGCTGGTGGAAGGCTGGCAGGTGGCAAAGGAGCGGGGCTGCTGAACAATCCAAGGAGTTTTAACAGTTGCTGGATAGTCCTTTAAAATATGCCCACTGGTAAGCCAGTACCAGGTTCAGACATAACAGTTCTGAAATTGCTGATGACTTTCACACAGAAAATATTTTTGTCACAGTTACAGTTGCTGTTTGTGCTTCTCCTGAAAGCACTCGGCCTGCTCAGAATCACCTCTGCTCTCTGAAAGCAATAGCCAGGGCTGCTGAATAGGCATCTCGCTCAAGTCTGTTTGTCACATCGTGGAGGGATCTCACTCTCAATGGAATTTCTTTACTTGAGTTGGAAAAAGCTTGTTACTCTTTGCTGATGATGGTTTTCTAGTTTTTCTTTTTAATGAAGACACAAATATTTTTAGTCGAATAAGAAGGTACAATAATAGCAAGGCTGTGAGTCACCCTCCCCTCTTCCATAAGCAGTGTGGTGTTTCTTTTGTGTGTTTGCTTGTTTTTAAGCAATTTTAGGAATAGGTAGCAGGAAATAATGGAGGAAGCTCCCTTTCTCACAATGAACAGGTAAGGGAAATGTCAGAAGGGTATCCTTATGAGCAAAAGCCCCTGTATGGCTTTGCCTGCTGGAAAACTGTCTGCTTGAGGATACAGGAAATGAAATGTTGTGTGAGCCAGTAACTCTTCTAAGAAAGATGCTTAATTTTGCGAGTGTCAGCTCTGTTCAGCAATGCTGTTGTGCTAGAGTATAGGATGGGATTGCGTGAGGCTTTTTCAGGAGCGTTACAATGAACAAATAAATCTCTTTCTACTTCCAGTTTATCCCTCCACAAAATGGAGGGGGTCATGTCCTTCTGAGTATTTTGAGCTGTACTGATTATAAGTTCTACTGTGAGAAAAACAGCAAAGAAGAATTTCTGAACTACCTTATTGGTTGATTTTGCATGGAACAATAACAACTTCAGATTCTTTCTGCCATACTGTTTTCCTCTTCTGCCTATGCATGAACGTATGATTTTTAGCCCACACTGATGAATGTTTCTACTTTTTTTTTTTTTTTTAACCAGGAGCAGAGGATTCTCTTCATGGAGGTCTGAAACTTCTTGGTAGGCTGGCACTTCTAACAGAGAAAGATCTTTGGACTGTTAATGGTCTTCCCAATGAAAATAACTCTTCAGACCACCTGCCATTGCTAGCAGAGTTCAGGCTTATTGAACAGTGACATCCAAAGGACTTTTTGTGACGGTAAAGTTACCTTCACCTTCTCTCTTCCTGTAATTATTACTATTTTTTAAAGGTTAATTCAAGCACTGCTGGTTCGGTTTAAGTAAGTTTGCATGCATGCTGATTTGTTAATGTTGTGTAAAGTAGACTTTTTAAAGAGACTTTTTTTTAATGTTTAAATTACTTTAGGAAGTCTTTAAAGGAGAAAGAAAAGATTTTACATTAGCTTCTTCTTTGATAATGGAAAACATCTGTGCCAGTCTCAAAATGGCATTATTTTTCATGGAGATTCTGTAAATGGTTTTTATTGTAAAACATAGTAAACCGGATTATTCTCTGAGAACTGTGTGCTTCTTCAATTAAAGGGGAGTTTGTGTGCAAGTCAAACTTCACGAGCTGAAAGTAACGTTTTACTACAGAATTGCTCTGTAGACACTTATGGCTAAATACTTCTGCAAAGAGATTTCCTCAGTTACCTAGAGGCTGCAAGATTGGACTTTCAAAGGGAGAAGAGAGCTGTGCAGTAAGGCAAATATTTATGTTCCAAAAAGTTGCTTCTAACTTTTAAAAGTTTAAATACAGGTAGCAAGCACTGGAATCCTTTTAAAAGTATCTGAAGTAGAAAAGTTTAACAAACATGAAACCTTATAGGAAACTTAATTCATGTGCTATAGGAAAAAAATATTAGTCCTTGACTTTTTTGAGGCTTCGAATATATTGAACACCTGTAGGAAGTGCTTTTTCCATTCAGTTATTCAAGTCGTTATATTGAAATGACAGATTCTGATGTATTAAATTATCAAATTTTATACTTACTCCATAATACACTGAATTCTGTGCAAAGTAGGTTGCCAAGGTACTACTGCAAGGAAAATGCAGGAGCTGCGTGACACAATGCAGTCATTGGTATTGCTGGTTCAGGGGTGCTCACTGTTCCCTAACAATGTATTTTCAGGGTTTAGAGACTTGTTTCAGCCTTTCTTTGCATAACCCACTAATGGTTGGCTATAGGGTAGGTTTAAGGGCTTTATGTTCAGTGATTTCTTTGTAGAACAATAAATGAAGCAGGTGATTAATCATCTTTTTAAAAGTCTGCTTTAGCTCACTGTCATTTGTCCTGTCTTGATTTTTGAAACAACTTAAATATGTTCTGGAATAGAAACCTTGACAGGACAGGAAAACAACCCTAAGTCATTAAAAAAAAAAAAAAAAAAGGACTACCGTGATACTTTATTCAAGTTTCATTCTGTGCATAAACATACAAGTGATTAAAATAAAAGTCATGCATGTTTTCTACACTATTTGACCACTTGGCAGCAAGTTAGAACAGTCACTAGAACCACACTTAAGACAAATGCCATCATAAACAAGTTTTAAGAGAGTATTTCGGCTCAACTTCAAAACAAGGACCAAAATCAATTTGTCACACAGCTCTACAGCATTAAAAGGTTTCAGTATGAGTTAGGGGTTAAGAGAAAATATCTCGTTGTGCTGGACAGTGGTTAAAAGCTAGATACCAATCATCATTACTTGAGCTGAAGTAAACCATGGTTTTATAGAAAATCCATGAAACATTTCAGATAACTTTGGGCTATAGGATATAGCTGATCAAAATAAGTTTTTTACATCATTTTACAAGATACATGAAAAAAAATGTTCAGGTTACGAGACACTGAACAGCACAAAGTTTAAAATTGAAACTGTAGCTGATATCAAATTACACAAGAAATTCTACCAAAAGAGTATTTCCCTCTCTTCAGTTTCGCTCCTGAAGCAGACGAAATCCTATTGTGAGCACAGGGGTGGAAGAGCTTGTAGAAAGAGGGATGGGAAGGCCTCCCTGTAATTGATGTGGTAATCTCATATAAACAAGTGCGATACACGTGAAAAGTCATCTTTCTAGACCTTCTGAAATTACGTAGTAGGAAGCCTCGGTTTTGCAGAAGGTTGCTAGGTCTCAGTGTTGTATTCCTGGCATAGGGAGGTGAGGTTCATTGACTTTTTCGAGCAATGAGGTCTGTGTACAAGGAACCATCTCCTCCTGTAGCCGTTCAGTTGCCAGCTCATGTAAGTGTTCCAGCAGCTTACATTGTTCCATTTGCCATAAGCATTATCATCGCTCTGTGACAATGTCCTGTCTTCATAGAGATCCAAAAAAGTAATTGCCCAGGAGGGGAGGTACACAAGAAGGCCCATGGCAGTATCATCTGTAAGCACGGCACAAAAGGGTAAAGGCTGGACTTGTACAATAATCCAGTTTCTATTTAGGCACCTAATGAAACATTTCCAGGAATGCAGCACTCAAATGCTTCCAGAGAACTTTGCTAATGCGGAGGAGCAGACCTCCAGTGAAAGCCTTACCGCATCACTTGAGAACACTGCCGCCCATCCGAGGTCCTTAGCTGTGTCTTAGAACAAAAGGACTGAGTAGGGAGGAAGCAGACAAGCTTGATTTTCAGCTATTTGAGACATACAATTTATTGCTGATGTTGTTCCATTACAAGCTTCCTTTTTCAGGTCTAAGTTGTTGTTACTACAAGATATACAGGAAAAACTCCCAACAGCAGCACGGCAGAAGGCTAACTTCAGCCTGTGATGTCTGATCTTAATTTAAGATGTCAAGGCATCACCACCTGAGACCGCTCAGCCTTTCAAAGACAAGGTTCAAAGTTAACACAGAAATGTTGAAAGAAAAGCATATAGACTCAGGTTAGCAATTCTGACATTTTTTCCATTATTCCAGGAATACATATGAAAAACAAACCGACAGGTAAACGCTTGCCTCCACAGAACGGCAGTCTCTACGTTTTGTGCTTCAGCAGTATAGTCTGGAAAGACTAAAAGCTTGTGACAAAGTATAAAAAAAATACGAAAGTTTAAAAATTCATTAGTCAATTATCATCATTTAAAAAAACCCAAAACCCAAAGCTTCATCATTTTGCCTAGTAAGATGTCAATGTTTAAGAACACACTTGCATATTACTATTACTTAACATCTTTCAGCAACATGCAGAAAATAATAATACAGGTGGCAGTAAAACACCTGGTGCTGTTTTAATACTACCAGAAGTGCTGGGAAACAGTACAAATTACTTATAAAACAATAATACTGACAGTTTTGCATATCTGTTTAGTGAGGTAATTTAAAAACTCATGCTACTTCTGCACTGCTTGATTTTATTGCTGAATTAAATATTAATACTGAATGAGACTTTTTTTTTTTAAACTGCACTGCACCCCAGCACATCTTAGCACTAAGAATATGATTTCTTAGTTATCCCAATGCTACTAGCCCAGCACAATGCCCAAATTCAATTAATACTTGCACAGGAAATTCTATTTGAAGAAACTCACACCACTGGAGTCACCTGCTACATGATGGAGGGAAAAAAAAAAAACCTTGTTATCTTGCCAAACCTAATTTTAGGTTCTTTTCACTGATGCCTTTTCTATAAATTGTAATAAAACGAATGCTGCCGCCACAAAGAAAAAATTCCCCTGTTCCATTTTCTAGATAAAGCCTCTATCGTAAGAGTCCACAAGGTAATAAATAGTTCCATTCCTTTTTCCGTCCAACGGAGTGCAGGTAAAAAAAAACGTGCAGTGGAAGCACCAGGAAGCCCTCTGTGCGGCGTATGGCTTTGTTAGATGCGGAGCTGGTAGCCTACCTCATTGAGCGTGGCCAGGTCTCCTTTCTTGTCCACCATGGCAGGCCTGCAAGCAAAGGAGGGAAGAGGACGCTGCTCACCGGCAATCCCCCACGACCACGTGGGAGTGGAGAGAGCAGCTCTGGGATCAGGACCGGTTCACTTCAAAATGGGACTGGCCAGATCTAATTTTCTCACTGTAAGCACGATTCTGCTGAATTTGTCACGTGAACTTGTGTGACCGAGCTACTCTGAGGCCAAGCACCAGCAAAGATTAAGTTGTCCCATCCTGCGGCCTGTGACTTGAGAGGGCCTAAAAGAGTAGCTAAGACCAGACACATTGCACCCATGACCAACTCCAGCATTTAGAATAAAGCAGAAACTACTGAGAGCAAACAGGCAAGGCCTCTCACATGACCAAGCATATTGCCTCTCCGAACTGGCCCTTTCCTTTTGGCCAGGTCCATGTGAAAGAGCCAAAAGTGAAAACGCAAGATGAAATCCCTTCAGCGTCCAGGCATCTTATACCCTGATACAGTCCAGCCTCACTGGAGTAATCACATGTACATGTACACTGTTGGGTCCATTTAAGCGTATCAATAACCTGAACTAAATAAAATCATGAAGCTGAGCAATCAGCCTCTCCCTATTTATCAAGCAATGGAAAAGCTCCTGTAAGAAATCTGTCAAACCAAAACGTTCCTGGTGGCTTAGGGTCCCTGGAAGTGTCTCATCTGAGAGCTTACTCCAGGCTATTTTCGCACTAAACTGTATGTTTGCTTTTCTAAAGAGAGACATTCAAAATACACGTTCCTCCTAACACATGCTACAGCATGTCCGTTTCACTACAACAACACAGCTAAAGCCTGAGTAGTACAACGTGAAGCTGGTACTGGTTCCGGTGCTTTCCTACCCCTCAGACCTGGTTTCCAGCTCATGTGCTGACCCTGCGCTCATTACACAGCAGCTGTGACCCGAGTCCACACAGGCGAGAGGCTGATGCGTACGTCCTTCTTGCGTGCTGCTGCTGAAGCCGCTCTGGGCAGCCGGCACGGCCCCAGGCAACGCGGTGCACCAGCCCAGCTCTCCTGCCAGGGAAACCCTGCCCTGTCGGGGGCACGCTGCCGGCTGCACGCACCCATCCAAGAGCTGTACTGCTGCAGCCCAAAGCGGCAGGGTCACATAGCTTTCATACATACACGTGTGGCAGAGCATCAGCAACATCTTAGAATTCTTTGATTTTATAATTATTTATATAAGAGCAGAGCTGTTAAATACCAGACCTCTGCTGAGAATTTGCAGACCATTTGAGAGCTGGGGACATTGCTATGGACAACTAATGCTCTTCTGCCTTGTTACGCACTGAGCGCAGTCTGGAGTTTTGCCTGAACACCTCTTAATAACCACAGAACTATAAAATGGCTTGAGTTGGAAGGGACCTTAAAGGCCATGTAGTTCCAACCCCCCTGCCATGGGCAGGGACACCTCCCACTAGACCAGGTTGCTCAAAGCCCCACCCAGCCTGGCCTTGGACACTCCCAGCGAGGGGCTTCCACAACTTCTCCGGGCAGCCTATTCCAGAGTATCACCACCCTCACAGTGAAGAATTTCTTCCTAGTATCTAGCCTGCTCTAGCTTAAAACCATTGCCCCTTGTCCTATCACCACATGCCCTGATAAAAAGTCTCTCTCCAGCATCCCTGCAGGCCCCCTTCAGGTACTGGGAGGCTGCTGTAGTGCCCCTGTAGTAGCCTTCTCTTCTCCAGGCTCAACAGACACAACTCCCTCAGCCTGTCCTCATAGGAGAGGTGCTCCAACCCCTTGATCGTCTTTGTGGCCCTCCTCTGGACCCTCTCCAACAAGTCCATGTCCTCGTGTTGGGGGCTCTGGAGCTGGGTGCAGTACTGCAGGTAGGGTCTCACAAGAACAGAGTAGAGGGGCGGAATCACCCCCCTTGACCTGCTGGCCACTCCCTATCTTCCCCTTGGAAGTGCCACCCTGCCTTGTGTTTGTCTTGGTGTTTAAATACTTCACAGAAGTGAAGGTGTCATCACTGGTCTCTGGCACTTACAGGAAGGGATCACACCTGAAGAAATCATTTTAAGATTGGATTTTTCCATTTTATTCCTTTAGAGCAGATGAGATTTGACTCACCAGAAAGCAAGCTACAAGCTGCATCCCTCCAAGCTCGCTTAGGAGTCGGAAAGCAGCAAGAAATGCACTGTACAAAATTACCAGTGTCTATCCTTCCTCCCTCCCTCAAATTTAAGGATCCTCTTCCATTTCAACCCTTTTCTCCCTCCTCTTTAGTTAAAGCCAGCACATGATGATTCAACCTTTTCTGATTATCCGAGAGAGGTGGGGAGTCACTGCACATCCATGGCAACGTGTCCATTTCCACTCCATAACAATTCTCTAGTTTGTAGCTACCAACAGACTGTCCTCCACAAGATTTTAGGACAAGGCATGGATTTGCTGGAGTGGAGGCACTGCTGCCCCTATTCTCCTTGACTGGCAAAGGACCTGACATGAAGCATCCCCTCTGAAGCGAAGGACCTCTGCTATACTGGCCCATCCGATCACACCTCTCATCCAAAGTGCCATGACAAGGAGCAGGTGAATAAGCTGTATTCGCTAGTTGTCTTGTGCTGGATCTGCCTGATTTTGCATAATATCATATAATATTATTATAGTAATATAATAGATAGTATAACAATATGATAATATAATGATATAATAATATAATCCTGCCATCCCAATAAAATGGACTAACAGAATTTTACTTCCAATAGCTAAATTAGGCCAGAAGCACACAAGGACAGTGCTGCTGTGAGCATGCAAAGACCATGCATGTGCTAAGCCTCAGTATGAAATTAAAAGGAAATAAATCTGGTGAACTGACATTTAGGAGCAGAGATTGCTTCAGGCTGCCGCATGATGCTTTCTTCTAAATTTGTATCAACTCTCCCAAACCTCTCCAGCTCCAAGCACTTCTGCTGAGGATGAAGCACTGCCTTGCCTGTTCCAGCACAGTGGCTGCAATTTACTGCACCCTCCTGCTTTGTGATTTCAAAGGACAAGTGGACACCGGAAAGCTTCAGACTTGCTAGACAGACTCACACCACCCTCTATCCTCTTTATTCATCCTGTCTGTTGGCCACCCTTAGCAAGAGCACATCAGCTGTGGGCTAAGAGCACATGGACTGTTACCTCAGCTCAGTTAACTACATACCAGTCTCTTAGACAGGTACATGCCACTTATTGCATTGCACCTGTGGCACACAACATACCCTGTAACTGTACTTCCAGGCAAAAACACTATTGTGATCTTGCTAGTGGCCACCACCAGCATTTACTTAACTAGTAAGGAACCAGGATGAGAGGTTAAAGGCTTGAGACTGTAAAATCCACTTCTGTCCTGAAGCACCACTTCAGCCTTTGTCCTTCAGAAACAATCCAGCAAGAACATTCTAGTTCAGGTATTGCTCAATGGGAGATTCCTCCCAGCAGGCCCATATAATTCTATTGTTGACAAAACCCAGGCTGTAATAACAGCTTGTCATCAGCAGGTGAAGCCTCTCAAACGAATGTTATTCAGCCCGTGCCAGCTCGCACTAGAGCAAAACACTTCTTTCCCCCTCCCCTGCAAGCTCTAAAAGCTGTAATTACAGCACGTGAGTAAGAGATCCACAAAGAAACAAAACACAGTGTTGATTAAGCCCAACCATTCGTTAGCTAGGATTTCAGCCTAAAGCCTAGAAGTCTTCCTTTCTCTGCACGTAACACAAAGGCCTCTCACTGCAACCAGGGTTTCGGAGATCCATCAATATGCAGAAAAAAATACCTAATTTTCCCTCTTGTACTTCTCGTCCTGTGTCAAGCACTGTAGATGCTGGTATGTGCCATTCAGCTCCTCCCTGATGAGGAGGTGCCATTCCCCTTTCAGATCTCAGAGAGCTCCCGTTGCAGAAACCAGCAGATCTCAATTCTGGCAACAGAAGGGTTTTATGGCCAGAAGAGAACACCCAGAGAACTACCGAGGCAAAAGGCACAGCGAGCCTTCGAGCCACCAGCGCTACTGCACAGAAGCGCCATTTCTTCTCCTTGGTGTCACTTTTCTAACAGAGACAGCCTCTTGGGTCTACTCAAGGGCTCTGGACCTGCCAAAACCTCCTTTGCTCCCCTTTTGCTTCCAAGTGTACTGGCCAGTCTTGTGACGGGGCTGTACAGGACCTGCAGGACTGTCACACGGCCACAAAGCAAGTGCTGTGAGGGCTCCTGCCTGCTCTGAGACGCTTCAATGCCTTCTGCCAGAGCGGAGATGAAGGTCTCCCCTGTACTCAGCGCTGGTGAGGTTGTTCCTTGAGTACATGTGCAGTTCTGGGCTCCACAGTACAGGAAGGACATCAAGGTGCTGCAGAAGGTACAGAGAAGGGCAACCAAAATGATTAATGGACTAGAGGGAAAGTCTTATGAAGAGAGGCTGAGAGAGATGGGGCTGTTCAGCCTGGAGAAGAGGAGGCTGAGAAGAGACCTTATCGCTCTCTACAACTACCTGAAAGGCAGCTACAGTGAGACGGGCTTCGGCCTCTTCTCCCTAGTGAATAGCAATAGGACAAGAGGAAACAGGTTCAAGTTGCAGCAGGGGAAGTTTGGATATTAGGAAAACCTTTCTCACCGACAGGGTGGTGAAGCACTGGAATGGGCTGCTGACGGAGGTGGTGGAGTCACCATCCCCAGGTGTGTTTAAAAAACGGCTGGATGTGGCACTTCAGGAGTTGGTTTAGTGTTATGGTGGTGTAGGGGTGTAGGTTGGACTTGATGATCTTAAGGTCCTTTCCAACCTTAATGTTTCTATGTCTTGTGTGGAGTCTGCTCTCGATTTCCTGTTCCACACATCATGCTATAGCTGGCTCCTGGATCTTCTATCATGGTGACATATATAATTTGCTCTAGATTCAGAGCAACACAGCAGAACCACTGAGCACCTGACAAGCGCTGAAGCCACTGAACAGCCACTGGTACTTCACTTGTCTCCTGTCCTGAAAAAGCAAAGCTGCCAGGGAGGAACTGGCCACTGCAGAGCAGCCACATGTCCAGCAGCACTCTCAGGAAACCAGCCCAACTGGCAAGTCTCCAAGTTCAGCAAGACTCACTCTTCTTTCCCGACACATGTGATCCACTCCAGCAACTGCAGAAGCACTATCAGAAACCCAAATATGAAACCATTCCTCAAAGTGAATCCAAAAAGTGAAAAAGCCTGAAGCAGCCAAGCCCACAACTATAATTATCCACGCACTAAACAAGGAGCTTTTGGTGACGAAGCCAAAAGTACAGCATCACAGACTGAGGGTGAATTCACACGTAAAAATAAAAGCCTGCTGTGAAATCATCTGCCACTAACGTATCTCAAAGTTATCTTTAGAAAGTTAGCCTAATGTCTTTGTTAGCTGCTTTAAAATAAATAAATAAGTGCTGAGACAGTAGTCTGAGAGCCTATTTAAAAAGCAAGGATCATAAATATGTGACTAATCTGGGTTACGTATAGGCTTTCACAGTTGTCAGCTTCCTGGCATGAAGCACTAGTGCTAAAACTCAACTCTTCCACATCTAAGGTATGGGAGCCTGAATTGCCAGTGGCTGTAAAAGGCCTGTGATCTGGAAGCTCAGTTTTATCCATTTAGAGGTATTGCCTGCAGTTAGACCATCCTTCCCTGCACAGTTCAATAAAAACCATTAGCTAGGATTCATGAAGCACGTAGTCCTTTTGATTTTGACTTTTTGTTGTTGTGGTGCTTTTTTGACTTTTTGTTTTTAATCAGCATAAAAAAAGAAAAGAATACAATGCAAGTCGTGTTTCTGGCTTGTCAAGAAGAGAAAACGCTCACTGTTTCACTATCCCTGTAAGTCAGACAGTCCTCAGCAAAAACTGTTCCATCAGAACAGCTCCACACGAAAGCTCATCGCAAAGAATCCAATTTCTGTCTCAGTGACCGTGACAGCAGGGCACCCCACCACGGCTGGCAGATACCTCCTCCTGCTTTTAATACGTATGTCTGAACATCCTTAAACGTAACCAAACTACTTTCCCTCCTGTGCGCGTTCCCTGCACACCAGGCTAGGTTCATTTCTCCGGGAAGTAGACTGTATAAAGACTGAAAAAAGAAAAAGGTGAACCCCACGCTCCCACCTTCACAGCCATCCAACACCCTCTAAGACTGAACTAAGCAAAGGCCATCAGGGGCCTCCAAGGACACCACACAGAGGGGCCATCAGGCAGCAGTAGCACAGCAACGCCAGAACACCAGCAGTACCGGCCCCTTCTGGAGCCTCTCAAGAAACCAAGATACATGCTACCATTTCCTATATATGCCAGGGACCACATATACAGCAAAATAATACAGCATCACCCTCCACTTCTGATCTGCCAGCAATGGCAGCAGGGATACTCACGATTTGTCTCTTCTGCACGCCCGTCTCTGAGGGCTGGCTTGCCTTCGGCGAGGGGACAACGACTTACCCCGTGATCTCTCTTTCATCGGAGAATGGGCACTTGAGGGTTTCAGAATCTGTGAGAGATGGGGGAGGGAAGGAAAAGACATTCATTGAAGGCAATGATTCACTGAAAATAAAAAAATACAAATAAATGGCCTCACACAGTAGCAGAGATGGCACACAAAGAGCCTTCAGTCCCTTGGAGCTTATTCAAACCCTGCCCAGGTTAAGAGAAACCCAAAGCTGTTATCATGTGATAGCTGTTCAGGGGCTCTCTGCAAAAAAATTAGTTGGTGTCACCAGTTCAGTTCCCAGCTAAATACCGAAAATAAAGTCTCATCCATAGCTTTCCTCAGAGCTGGCAACAGCAACGGATAAGAAAAATGGCTTTGAGCCTCAGCTGAAGGAAACTCAAGACAGTTGAAGCCTTCTTTCCAGCCTTACTCTCCACAGAGGTGATCGTCTCCCAGACTGGCAGCTGAACTCTCTGTGACAGTCAGACTTTCCAACAGGTCTCCAACTTGCCCGCATCCCCCAGGCCCTTCAACCTCAGAAGGCCATAAGCACAGCACTCACACTGCAGGCTATTTTTAAGACCTTATCCTCCAAAGTCAGCTGCCCTCACAATGGGAACTCCCTGATTCAAGTGGCTCAAATTCTGAATTAACTGAACAGTCTGTTGCAGGGCCTTCAGCCTTCACGGGTTCAGGGCTGTGGTCCTGGCCTGGAGGCACTTACAAGGAATCATGGAACAGCCTAGGCTGGAAGAGACCTTAGAGATCATTTAATCCAACCTCCCTGTCATGGGCAGGGACGCCTCTCAACTAGATCAGGCAACACGTGGGGACCAAAAAGGGATCGAACCCGCGACCTTGGTGTTAAACCGGACTCAACATCATATATCAGCACACACACAGAGATGGATCAATTTTTGCTCTATCAAAAGCAAGAACAAACTTCATCCACCCCTAAGGACTTCTTCAGCTAGCACCCACTTCGTTTGCTTGCTAGGTGTTATTAAAAGTTCATAAACAGAGAAAAAAGTGAAAAAAAAAACAAAAAAAAAAACACCTTAATTACACCTGCAATCAAGCAAATGTGCTTAAGGTGACAGTATGGGACAAGCCAGCCCTCAAAACTCCTTGGCAGGGCAGGAGAGGTGGCAGCAGGACGTAGGGGCTACGATGCCACTGACAACACTCACCCCAAGGTCAGGGGGAGGAGGCAAGCACCTTGGCCAAAAAGCCACGTGGCTGCTACGTAGGAGCCATTCCTCAGCAGGGCAGCGGACGGGAACCCAGAATAACTTGGATGCGATGCCACATGCCTCTCCACAAGAGCCAACCCCATACTTAGCAACACACCTGCTCTGCTCCCACTGCCAGCAGCAGGCTGGAAAGGCACGAAATCCCCTTCCACCGTGACCGCAACTGGCTCGCTCAAGCCAGCCCCAGTGGCACAGTCAGGAACACCCCTCATCCCCTAAGTGCAGCCGAACACTCCAGCCCCCTGGCTGCCTGCCCGGTCTCCCTGTCACTTCCCTCCAGGCTCTTCAATCCAACCAGCAAGCGGGGAAGCACCAGCTTGTCACTCGCTTTCCTCACCTTTTCCATGTAATTCACTTTGTGATTTAGCCGAGGGTGGTGGACATCAGGCAGCACAGGGCGAGCCCACTGGCATGCCCTGCAAGGAGAAGCAACCGCTGGTACGGCTGTCCCACAGCACACCCTGCAGCTCAGGTGCAAGGCAGAGAGCCCTACCCAGGACCAGCCATGCTGGTTCTTCCCAGCCACCTTCTTCTGTAGGCAGTGAGAAAAGCAAACTGGGCCATAGCTCCTTGACAGGCAGGGACAAGTATGGTTTGAGTGTTTCCCAGGCTCAAAGAGAGGTCCTTCAGCTGAAAAATAGCTATAAGGGCCTGAAAACACACCAAATCCTGCGGGAGAACCACCAAGATAGATGTAATACACCTCCAGCCCACCTGACACCACCTTAATCTCAGGTGAGGGCGTATCTGCTGACACGGAGCAAGACCAATCTCGGCAGGATGGGACAAGGGGTTTGAGTGTTTCCCAGGCTCAAAGAGAGGTCCTTCAGCTGAAAAATAGCTATAAGGGCCTGAAAACACACCAAATCCTGCGGGAGAACCACCAAGATAGATGTAATACACCGCCAGCCCACCTGACACCACCTTAAGCCCAGGTGAGGGCGTATCTGCTGACACGGAGCAAGACCAATCTCGGCAGGATGGGACAAGGTACCCCTGCCTCCGAGTCCACCGCCCCAGCACGTAGACCTACCTTCATCCTCATATCCCTGGCAAATTTCTCCAGCTCTTTCCTGACTTCTGTGCGCATCATTTTGGATACGTTGAGGACCAGCTGCTTCCACTCAATGGGCTGAAAGCTGTGCGGCTCATGTGGGACATATAATCCAATTTTTACTTTTTTGACTGAATGCAAGTACTTTTTATAGGAGTCTTCAAATTCAAAGATGAGGTCGCTAAGAGTTCGGTAAGTTAGAGGTTTGTCCATCAGATCTGATCGCCTGCTCATGCCCAGCGAGCCGTACCGGCCGTTGCAGTAAATCCCGAGCACCACATGATGAAAATAGTTCCCTGAGAAGTGGGTTTTAAAGCTGATGGGGAATCGTTCCACAGAGGGCTGCCCATTCGTTAAGTATCTGGCATGCACTGCGTCAAGGCAACAACAGTGCTGAAAAGGGAGCATGCACTCTTACACCTGTAAGACATCTTTAGCATGGTTTGGTTTTTTTTAACTGCCAGGGCAAGTGCTTTCTTACAAATTTATTCTCACTGTGTCCCAGAAATAGTCAATGCTGCCAAACCTCATTTCACCGCTTGGAGAATGAGATGCCATGGTTCAGGCAGAGAAGGGTTTAACTCTTATCCATGCTTGGAGGGACAGGAAAAAAGCACCACAGTGTTTGGGTCAGCACCCCAGAAGAGAGACCACTCTTTCAAGATCTGTGGGAACTCCCCCATCTGATACCAACATCAAACTTGCACGCTCCTAAAAGGTAACAGTTTCCCTCTGTTTCACACTGGAGCTTGGTACAACTCAGGTTACTGATCCTCGTTTTCCCACATCTTCAAACAGTACAAAAACATCTGAATTTACTCCTCTCCAGTGTGACAGACTGCCTTGCCATCTGTAAACTGGCCCTTGGCATGGCCACTCCTCATACAAGAGTGTTTTTGCATGTTACCCTTGTAAGGCATCACTGAGATGAAGAAAAAAAAGCTCTCAGGCAGAAAGTTAACTAGATAAGCACAGAGATACTGTCAGGAACAAACACTACTAAAAGCAAAACATATCCCCTGAATCACTGGCTGGCCACTTCAAATGCACCACGTGCAGAGACTGGGGCCAAGCTCCATAACAGCGTAGTAGATGATCTCACAGGGGAACTATGCACAGGTCCTGCTCATCTCAGGAGGCTGTTGGCTTGTGCCTGGGGGAGGAGAGACTGAGATTCCCTCACGCATGTGGGTTTGCGTCAGCACCTACGTCGCACGCTGCTCCCTGCTGCTAATCCCCAGACAGCTGAAACCCACCCTGGCTCTATGTGCTGACACCCAGCCCCCCAGGGACAGCAGGTGCCCTTCCCCTCAGCAGCTAAGACTCCCCAGCCGTGCCTGAGGAACGAAGGAGGGATGACCAGAAAAGGCTACAGCAAGATGCTTCAGGCTGGGGTTACTCCAGCCAGAAGCACGTGCTGTAAGCTCAGAGCAATCCCCAGAGGCAGACACGGTCAGTGCCACTACAAAACTGACGGGCCCCAGGGGCAGCGCTGCCAGGATAGCCTCAGGGCAGCCTGAAAGACAGAGCAGGGTCAGTTCCCACTGGAGCTACTGGAACTGGCTCAGACCAAGGTCCTGCTCCGGGGATCTCCAGCATCCTCTCCTCCTAGCCCGTGCCCAAAAAGCAGGTCTTTAACAGCAGCGAAACAAGAGCCACTGCACAGCCGAGATGCCCTGGGATGTTACTGTGGCCAGCCTTCCTTCCCTGTCTGCATAGCATGGCTGCCCAACACTGCTGCGCAACTGAGAAGAAAAAAAGCCTTTGTACCAATACTGTAAACCACAATCTGGGCTTGGTTCTGGTTCTGTTCAGCCTGACACCTCAGTGCAACTCCCTGGGACGCTGACCCCGCCCATTCACACCCCACATTTCACTTCTCTACAGGGATGCAAGAAAAGCAGTCAGTGGCTCTCATGTGTCTCTGAAGTGTTTTCTCAAGGGGATTCTTCACCCACCTGACACTTGATAGGCAAAGTTTTGCCCTCCAGGTGAACACTGAAACCAACCAGTAAGAGATGCCCTAACTGCCCAGAATTTGAGGTCAAGAGCAAAGAGTTAAGCCTCTGTACAGGAAAAAAAAATGCAAGAAAAACACATTGGCAAAAATCTTTCAGAAGAGCCACAGGGAAGCTTTTTTGTTTCAAATGTGTCAAAACACATTTAACTGCACACAGAGCTAGATGCCATCAGCTTTAGCCATCTGGAGAAAACGTATTAAGGGGTATTGGAACAGACAACACTATGGGCCCAGCTCGTGGTGCACTTCAAAATCTGCTTGACAGCAAGTCTGGACAAGCATGCAAAGCTGAGTGCAAACCTCTCTACCACACACACAAGCCCTCGCCCAGCCAAGGCTACCTGCACCCACCTCTGCCCATCTGCTGCCCCACCTACACCAAACACAAGCACCCTGCGGCAATTGTCAAAGCTCACCCTGGTATCAACTACACTGACACAGAACAGAAATAGCTCTATTGCCTCCAGTGGTCTTGCTGGATCACTGTCACATTAGGACTAGCCTCTCCAAGGAAAAACCCCACACCATCGATAGAATTAAAGACCATAAATACACTGCAAGGTCAGAATGGGGCCCAGCACTGTTGTATCAACTGGAAAACTCAGCCCAACAGCCACCTGATTTAAAAGGTCACCTTACTCCAGGCCTTAAAAGGGGAATCCTGTATACATCAAAGTCATGTTACAATAATTTGTGTCCCACAGACAAGATTCTTGCAGAAGCCCATTGTATTTATCATTCTGTGTAACTGAAAAAGCAGTATCTTTTATTAACACCTATGAAGCTTTCAAACATCACCACTATTTTTCCCCCTCATTATGAAAGGGTTTTCTCTCTGCTCTCTGAGTGCCTTTCTATTAAGTCCACACAAAGCTTTGGTGGCCACCTGCCACACATACACACTTCTGCCACGAGGTCTCAGAGAAGTTGCAATTTAATCTCATTAAATACTAGGTAGGAATAAAAGAATCTTTTCAGGACAGAAATTATACACCATCAAATAAGCCAGCAATAACTGCTGCGGAAATTAACCTTTAGGTACAGGTTGCTTCTTCTGAGTGACTAGTTAATGAGAGTCCCCACCCGAGATGAAATACACAGCAAACGGGCTGGAAAGGCATGTCAGATCTTTCCTTCCATCCCTGCATCATTATTATTCCTTTTTCTTCCTGCTCTGCCCAAGGAGAGCTGTACTGTGGCAAACAAAAGGCAACGACCCAGCAATGCCGCAGCTGTAATCACACTTCTGAGCTGAGACTGTAACTGCAGGATAGAGTGTCAGGGAGTAAATTATGTGCCACAATAGAGAAGCAGCACAAAGCAGGAGAGAGCAAAAGCAGCTGTAACGAAAGCTTGGTGGCCTCACAATCTCAGCTCTTCATGTAAATCAAAGTAGCAAAAAAAACCCAAAACCAAACAACCCCACAAACAAAGCACTGAAGGATGCTGATCTCCTTGGAGATCACACAGGAGGGACACTAAGCTTCTGGCTGGCCATCTCCTGCTCCAATATCCCTCCTCTTCCTCCACACCCAGGAAATGCACAAGGACAATACCTGGAGCTCCATCAGGGTCTCACAGGAACGGGTTGGTACAGCATGTCCCCATGCCTCAGAGATTCCAAAATCCTGCCCACCCTGACTCTCAGCTCTTCTGCAGCCCCATACTAGCCCTTCAATTTCTTCCATCCCAGAGAGACAATAATGCTTGGAGCCAGTGCTGCGTTTATTGGGCAACTGCCCTCATACCCCAGGAGGCTGATTTTGAAAGAGACAGGTCTGGGTCAAAGGAGTGCGAGAAGAATTGGGCCCAAAGCACATAATACACTTTGGCAGTGACAGGCCATTGGGGGTAAACCAGGGCAGCTCTGTTAACAAGTAAGGTTTCCTAAGCACAAAAATACTGCTGGCAGCCTGCAGCAAGAGCCAGATTTCCCATGCTGGCATGCAGCTCCTACAAATCTGCAAGTCAACACAAGTGCATTACCTTCTGAGCTGCAGGTTGTTGTGCTTCCCATAGTCCCAGGCTCACACACAACCTAGCCTGAGGACCTGGGACACATTCAGATCCAAGATTCAAATATAAGCGAGACTTGGGACTCAAAACTTGCACTCTGGCCACCACTTGTGTCTTCCTAGGCAGCGAGGCAAACAAGGAGTAGCATCCTTAGTCACTTCAAAAGAGAAAGGGAGAATTAGTTAAGGTGTTAGCTAAGTGAACCCCTTAGTTTTAAAGCTCTGGAGCAGAAACCATTTGGATGGGTTTTCTTTAAATGTGCATACTCACACAATGGCTCAACCAATGCTCTTCTGTGGTTCAGATTTTGTTTCTTTTTTCTCCACCCCATGGCGAACTCTAGTATCAGAAACATCCCACAAAGAATTCCTAGCATCTTACCCATGAATACAGACCCTTCTCTACACAGGTGCCCCTACTGCAGAGTACAGAGCAGTTCCCAGCCAGAAGAGAAACTTGAAGTCCTTCACCTTGCTTATTTGCCAGCAGCAACTTTTGGGAAAAAAGGTCTCCCTTGCCTTTTTTTTAAAAAATTAATAAATAATCAGAGCAGAAGCTTTCCACATGCCAGCACTGTGGCTTCAGGCTTCAAACATTTCTGGAACTAGGTCTTAGCAGCTGTCAGCACCCACCAGACAGCAGCTGGCTAGCTGAGCACAGGTTACTTGCCACCAAGAGGAACTGCAGCACTTAAAGCAAGGGGACACGCTTCGAGGACCTCAACTGCCCTGTGTCTAAACCTGCTTCAACAGAAGTTTATCTGGGGGAAAAAAACCACAACTCCATGCCTTTGCCAAGCTGAGAGGCAGCAACTGTGCAAGGGGTGTGCTGGCAGCAGGTGAGGAGACGAGTGCCATCCCTGCACCATGGCCCCTCCCTGCAGCACCAACAGGGACCCAGACCTGCAGAGATGGGCAAGGGACTTGCAAAGGCCCTCCTCTTCAGAGCCCCAAAGCTGAAAAGCCCAAACATAAGACAGTGCACCAAGGCCTTGCAGAGCCAGCAGGAGCCTGAAACAAACCCAGGCACGCTGGGGTTTCAGATACAAGTGCCAGCATCAATTGTTTGACCAGCCCAGCCCACCAAAGCTCACGCCTGAGCAGCTCTAAGCATCCACAGCTGTCCCAGTGCCCAGACTCACAAGTGCTTCTCCTCCACCTACAAGAAGACTCAGCATCATGCCAGACATCTTCTGGTGTCACCGCTACAAGTCCCACTCCACCTTGCAAACCAAAGATAAAAAAGGGAAAGCCAGGTGAAGCCGATATTGAGCAAGTGTCCATTGCACTGCTTGTGCCAATCAATTCATTTGTTTCAAACTCTCCCTTATTTAAATCAGACAAGATGACATTGCAATGCTTCATGTCTACGATCCCAGCAAGGATGGGTTTTGCTGAAGTCTGGTCAAGATGAGCACAGAAAAATCACAGTGTGTCTGGTCCCCTCCTCTCCTGCCACTCACAAGGGCTGGGGAAGCATGAGCAGGCACCCCGAGCCATCACAGCAGGCTGTGTCACAGGGTGTGAGGAGATGTGAGAAGGCTGAGAAGAGCAGGAGTGAGGAGGCAGCTTTATTTACACTAGCAATGCTGAAAGCCGCTAGCTCAGAATGAGGAGGTGGAGCTGGGGAAAAGCAAACCTCACGCTTCAAAATTGCTAGATGAGGCTTCAGTAAAAACAGAAGAGCTATTTTTCTGAGCAACCGAGTAACTGCTCGCAATGTCAAAGGGCTTCCAACCACCAGCAGTAAACACTTAGAGAAGTTTCCAACCACAGCCTGGAGTCAGACGCTATTTCCCATAGGCTCCAGGATTGCCAAGATCCCAGGTTTGGGATTGCTTACTGCAAGGCAGAGTGCTACTAAACCCACATCTGGATGTTGTATGCACAGAGAGCTCAGATTCCCTTCAGCAGCTCCAGTGCCCACAAAGGAATGGCTCGAGCAGCTGGCTCAGCCTCCCAAAGCAGGACTGCCAGGCCAGCATCCTTTGTGAGAAGTGTGTTCCCCAGTGCCTGGCTGTAAAGTTGACAAGCTTAATATTAGACCATGACAATGGAAGCAATTAAAAGCTCTCTCCCAGCTCTTCCCAGATACAAGAGGGTCTGTAGATACTCAGCACAATCCTCCTTGCCCATATTTCAGTTAGCGAGTGGGTAGAGCTGTGTACAAGCACAGAGGAGACAAAGAGGGGCACTCCAAGGACACCAATATACTGCAGTGACTGCAAGGAACTCTCCCCACCACTTGCTCCCAGCCCAGGGATCTACCTGCTAGGTAGGAGGAACATGATGGGCCCAGGTCTCCAGCAGTGATAAACATCATCCACTGATTAAATGCGCAGAAGCATAGCACAGAAGCTATTTAATAATTTCTCCCTCCTGAGGCACTTCTGCTCTCATCCTCATTTAATGATATTATTGGACAGGGGGAGGTCTAATACCTTGCATGGGTCTGACTTTTACCTCATATGAACTGTGAGAGGCAACAGGACTAAATTATGTTCACCCGACACAGACCCACCCTGTGAGACTCCCTGAGGATGGATGCACTGTGCCGCTTCCCTCTCCTCCAATATTTCGCTCTCCTCGTTTTAATAAAGCGAATACAACACAGATAAAATTCCCCAGGTGCTCCTTGGTTTACTGTTGCTTTTCTTGAGCACATGTCATTTGGAGCCTTGCTCAGGAAGAATGGGCTGAACGCACCATTACTCGGCTGATTTACAACTGAGCTGAGAAACGCCCTGGGGAAGACAAGCAGGAGGAATGCCTCTGGTTAGGCACTGACAGCAGACCATGTAAGCAGAGAGATATGAAGCCAGTTCAGACAGCTACACAGAGAAGAAGAGCTGTTCAGATTGCTGCAAAATAATACTGGAAAATCTGTACAAGCTTTCAGTCACCTCGCATCAGCTGCTCCCTTCGCGCATGCAGACAGGGTAGCTCGGTGTTTTAACTCATCGCCCTATAAAAATGCTTCAAAATCTAGCACGAAGGCAATTATGCAAAACTTAATTCTTCACCAAGAGGGATTACAGAAGCGTTTTATAAGAAGTCACACAGTAAAAGGCAATTGCACGAGCCAGCAAGCAGCTCAATTAAAATGACATCTCGCTAAGCTGCTCTGTGCGAGTCGGCCTTTGAATGAAGGCTCACGCCGAGGGTCTGCTGTCGCGGGCTGCGCTCTTTTTGGTATCCAAGCAACACGGTAAAGTCTGCCAGCACGCAAATTACAAGCAGTACCTTATTTCCAGACATAGAGAAGGGAAACAGAGGTTTCCCTTCACATCACACAGTGATGCTCAGCTCAGGCGTAAGTGGAGGCATTGGTTTGACACTCAGGAGAGGGTAGGTGCACCTGGAAAGCAAGTCATAGAATCATAAAATGAATCATAGAATGGTTAAGGTTGGAAGGGACCTTAAAGATCATCTAGTTCCAAGCCCTTGCTGTGGGCAGGGACATCCCTCTTTCACTAGACCAGGTTGCTCAAAGCCCCATCCAGCCTGGCCTTGAACACTTCCAGGAATGGGGCATCTACAACCTCCTTGGGCAACCTGTTCCAGTGCTTCACCACCCTCGCAGTGAAGAATTTTTTTGTTATATCTAATCTAAATCTATCCTCTTGCAGTTTCAGGCCATTGCCCCTTCCCCTACCACTACAGGCCCCCATAAAAAGCCCTTCTTCAGCCTTCCTGAAGGCCCCTTTCATGTACTGGAAGGCTCCTGTTAGGTCACCCCAGAGCCTCCTCTTCTCCAAGCTGAATAACCCCAGCTCCCTCAGGCTGTCCTCATGGCAGAGGTGCTCCAGCCCTCTGATCATCTTCATGGCCCTCCTCTGGACCCGCTCCAGCAGATCCATGTCCTTTTTGTACTGTGGGCTCCAGACCTGGATGCAGTACTCCAGGTGGGGCCTCACTAGAGAAGAATAGAGGGGGAGAATTATCTCCCTTGACCTGCTGGTCACACTCCTTTTCATGCAACCTAGGACACGGTTTGCTTTCTGGGCTGAAAGTGCACACTGCTGGCTCTTGCTGGGCCTCTCATCAACTAACATGCCCAAGCCCTTCTCCTCAGGGCTGCTCCTAATCTGCTCTCCGCCCGGCTTGAGATTTCCTCCACCTAGGTGCAGGACCTTACACTTGGCCTTGTTGAACTTCATGAGGTTGGCATATGTCCACCTCTCAAGCCTGTTGAGGTCCCTCTGGACGGTATTCCTTCCCTCCAGCATGTCAGCCACTCCACAGTTTGGCGTCAGCAAATTTGCTGAGGGTGCACTCTATCCCACTGTCCATGCCCCCAACAAAGATGTTAAACAACACTGGTCCCTGTACCAATCCTTGCGGGACACCACTCATCACTAGTCTCCACAAGCTGCAGCTGCTGGCCTCACCATGTCTTTATCCAGAGAGCAATGCTGAAAATCAGATTCTCATGGCTGAGAAAAAACAGCAAACTTCCTCACGTGCCATTCCAAAGATGCCTCCCAAAAACCCACATGGTGCACATGCAACACAGCCCCATAAGGCATAGGCTTCATACCCACCACTTTCAAAGCACACATATTCAGATGGCCCACCTGCTCATCACTGCTACACTCTTTGTGGACCCATACCTCAAGAAAAATACTTAGGTTTTGCATTGCATGGATCTTTTAAACTGTAATGCATCTATTACTGCACCACCACTCTGCAGACAGTCCCTGTTCTCACACAGAAGACTTCCAATACAACAAGTCATAGGAAGGCAAGCTTGTCCCATACCATCCCCTGCTTAAGCCCTCTCATGAGGTAATCTCAATTAAAAAACAAAACAAACAAAAATTCCTAGCATCTAAAGAGAGAGTCATCCAAATCTTAAAAGCCCAAAGAAATTTCAGATTACACCAAACAGTATAAACTATAGCTTTCAACTATTTTGCTTCCTGCCTTGGTCAAAAAAAAAATTTGAACAACCCCCCCCCCCCTTCCCAAATGAAAATGAAACGGTCAAAACTTTTAGATGCGCAAGAATACTTTTAGGTTATTGCTGTCATCTGTACACCACAAGTATGTTCACCCTTTGCTCGCAGAGTATGTGGAATAATCAGTTCAGTGCTAGCAACATAGCACTAGAAGCCACACAGTGCAGAGCAGCATCTACTCCACCTGGGGATTATTTCCCCCATCTCTTGCACCCCCAGATCGTTTGGGACACAACCCTCACACAAGGGCAAGTACAATAGGTCTACTGACAGCATTTCTGTTTCTGGGAGGACATCGATTTGAGTCTCCTGCCAACATCAAGCCCCCTGGACCCTCCTCCCTCTGGCTGCATGCAGACCCTTCCAGCATTTGCAGGGGAAGAGGCCAGAGCCACGCTTGGGACTCAGACCTGAAGCCCACACCTGGCACACGGGGAGCCTGTGCACACCACAGACCTCCCAGCACAGCGGGAGCCGCATCTGGCAACGAGCCTCACACACCACTCGCTGCTCAGCCCACGTCCCCTTCCCACCCCTCTCGGGAGACTCAAACACCGAGCACTACCTGCCGGGTTCTGCCGGCTCCTTCTCCCACGAGAGGGGGCAGCAGCAGCAAGGAAAACGCCGCAGAGACACGCCAGAAGCTGGTTTGCTTCGGCGTGTATTTTGGGTTGGGTTTTTGTTTTGTTTTAAATCGAATTTGACCAGTTGTGGCCAGACGCAGCCGGCATAGAACCCTGCCTCGCTCTCCTCTAGTGTTTAGGAGGATGCAGGTAGACTTAGCGGTGACAGCACAAGAGGGTCAAGAATCAAGTCAGTCTCTAAATGAAAACAGTCTTGGTTTTGGGTTTTTTTTCTGAATAGGAAGCAAGCATTATGTTAAGGTAAAGCTGAAGTGTTTATAATACACGCTTCTGCACAAAGCATAACAGAGAGACAAAAATTAACATTGCTTTACCATGTAAACAGTAGACAAACATAGGACAGAAGCTGTGTCCCTCGGGTGTTATCATACTTCCAAAATAACCAGCAGAGAAATACTAACAAAGAAAACGAGGACTGTGCAGACAGATACTTATGTAGGCACTTTGGGTCAGATCCTGACATGACACAGATTACCAGGGCAGAAGGCAGAGTCAGCATGGCCACACTTGTGAACTGAGCACCCGGCACCCAAAGCCCGACTGACAAGCCCCACCTGTTGATCAATACCACGGCGGTTCCCCGAGCTGCTGGTACTCACCTTTGGCTGTGACCATCACAAACACCATCCAGGAAGGGCAAAATATTAAACAGCACTGCAGTGGAAAACATCACAGGCATGTGAAAGGATACATCCCCAGGATAACTGCTTCAAGGCATTTGATAGGTAATGATTCCCTGGTCATTTCTTTTGCTGTCTCCATTAACCTAGGACAGAAACAAAAAAAAAGTTTTCAGTCTTCTCAGTTGCAGCAGTTGACGAGAATCAAAGGGGCCTCTCGTATGCCAAGAGCCAGGTGCCTCCAGTTGTTATCTCAGCAAGCGCTGGTGAATTTGAGCCTCCTTTTCAGTAACTTGCCAGAGCCCTGTTGACTGCTGGAAGATTACTGAAGAAAAGAAAATATTTTTAAAATGTGTGTTTGGCATCCCAGTGCCTTCCAGCCTCCGAAGATGGGCTGGAGGAATGTAGTCCTCTTTGCTCTCCCAGTAACTCCACCAGCATTACTCCAGACTGTAACACAAAGCCCTGCTGAGCTGCTGGCAATCATAAAAGCTTCCACGGCAGCACTAAGTTTAGCTTATTTTTAAAATAACCCTGGCTCTCCTTTAGAAAAAAAAACAGGGAAGATGGTTACATGATAACCCCATGAAAGCTACAAATGCTTCCCTGAGCCTGGAACTATAGGTGGAAAAAATTAATTTAATGCCTTTTTACTGAAGCCTGCTCTGCAGAAAGCTCTACTGACACTGACACCTTACACCACTGCAAGCTGAGCTCTCATCTTGCTGCTGCTCCCCACGTCCTGCGGGCTGGAAAAGTGATAAAAAACATAGGATTTCCTGCAGGAGTGCAGGAAACTATGCATGCCCAGGATCTTGCAAGTTCACAAGGTTTAGTTACAATCTGGACTCTGTTTTGGGAGTAGAGCTGACAGGGACACTGTGACAACAAACAAGCAACATAATTTTAAGCTCAGCTGAGAAAGCTGTCATGCCAGACTGACAATGAACAATCAACCAATTAGGTATCATATTCCCTTCCACAAGCAGGTCCTGAAATCCTAGAAAGCTTAAAAAAAAAATACTGGAAGATTTTAAAAAGGAAGAGTTAAAAAAAAGAGTCATATTCAATGACACACATGCAAACAAAAAAGCTAAACAACAAACCAAAGGGTAACTTCTATTTTGAAGTCTTCTCTATCCATATCCTTTCCCTGATAAGAGCTTTGTAAACAGATTCCTACCCTAATGAAACATGATATTAAATGATAAGAATATTTGTATTAGAGATGATGAAAATATGTATCTGAAACCATCAGAGTCTCTTTTTCTAATTCACCCACCTCATGCATTTTAAACCTTGTATCGAGTGCAAATGGCAATACAGCTTCCACTGCTATTACAGCCTGTCACAGTCATTCTGCATCCTATTCATCCAAGTTGGAAATTATCTTTTCATTTGTAAACAACCACTCTTTACACTCTTCTTGCAGCACAGAAGACAAAAGAGTTAGCCCACCTCCTACACACTCACAATCAGTCACAGAAACCCCACTGCTGGAAGCAGGGAGCAGCCCCAGGGAGGCTGCACAATGGAGCCCCTTCATCCCCCAGAGCGGCTCCTCAGTGCTGGCTCCAACAGCAGCCCCGTCTCCATCCAGAGAAGTGTTACAAGTGGATGACACATGCGAGGTGTCATGAACCAGACGATCTGCTGAATTTCCTACCTTCCATCTCCAGGGGAGTTAAAAAAAAAAAAGTCACAGCAGATTACCAATGTGCATCGGACGCAGGAGAAAGCTCAAGTTGTAAAGCTATTTAGCTTCAAGCCATTTAGTGTGGTGTACTCCTGGTTAGCATGGTCTGACGGACAGGGCCAGCATCTCCTCCTCAGGTCTACACCTACACTGACCTTGCTGTCGGGAGGCAAACAGAGCAGCCACACTGGAGCTGCCTCATCGCTATGTGCAGCGTCAGGTCTCCTAACACCTGCTTTTATAAGCTCAGTGCTGTCACGATTTCAAGGTGTTGTAAGCACAGAGATAACCATTAATGGCTCCACAGCCATCTTCAAAGTGACTGGCCTAAATGAGCAGTCAAATCACTGCCTACTTATCTGTCACAGCAACACCTGCATTATTTAAACACTAAGTTGCATTCAGCATGCACTCTGTTTATAAGCCACAGAGGGATTGGTTCTGAAGCGCTGATCTCCAGGATGCTGTAAGGTTATTAAAACAGATTTAAATCGAACAGAAAAGGCATTTTGCTTGCTTAAAAATACGCTGCCTGCTAGCGCACAAGTATCGCAGCTGTCCCTTCTGATGCAGGCGTCAGCCCTCCCTTCCTTTTACGTAGCACCAGAGAGCTGGGCTCAGAAGGGACCATGGGAAGCCCTCCTGTCCCACCTCCTGCTCTATGCATCCAGATTCAGGAGCTCCAGCAGAAGCTCGGCAGCCATCCCCAACCTGGCCACTCAGAGACTGCCCCAGCCTCCAGACCATGGCAGAAGTGAGAATCTGTGCAAGGAGGCATCACCTGCCAAGGTCAGGAGGCATCACCGATGACTAGAGAACTGGCGCCTACCCGCGCCCACAGGACAGGTCACACCCTCACACACACCCAACCCAGGGTCCTGGGGAATGCTCTGCAAAGAGGTTCCTTTTTCTGTGTTTACAGCAAGGTCAGCAAGAGTTTTTCTTCTGCTTTTAACAAGCTTGAGCCACAGCACGGCCTTAAACCCGGTGCTTGTCTTGGAAGCAGAGCCTTTGGAGAATGCCCAAGCCACTGCTCTGCCCAAGGTAGCGTAAGATAAACCCGAATCACTCCTCATAGATAATTTTCCAACCTACGTTTAACTGGTTTCTCAAGGACTCGGGAACCTACTAGTTAATCTATCCTCTACTTAACCTTGCATCTAGAAAGATCCCCTAATGTTTAAACTAAATCCTTCCTCTTTTGCAATTTAAATCAGAAGCTCTTTCCGCTATCCGTGGTGGGCACAGAGACCATTTATTATCTCTCCTCTTGCAATAGACATTTCTATATACAACAAACTCTAATCTACCCTCTCCTGGGTAAATGATTTTTTTTTTTCCTGTGAGTTCTCTGGGGGCTTTTTAAAAAAAAAAAAAAAAAAAAATCTCTCCCTCACCCCACAGCCTCCCCCTTAGGTCATGTTTTCTAGACCTTGGGCAATGTTTGCTGTTTTCCTTTTAGACTGTCTTCAGCCGACCCATATCTCACAGTCCCTCAGCTAAGCCCACCACACCACAATACAACAGATCAATTTCCTTGTGAATCAACTCTCGGTACATTTTTTTCTACTGACCCAGTGTGTTGTTGGCTCTTTTCCTAGTGACCCACACAGTGCTTTGGGGTTTTTTAATCATGGTTTTTTTTTTTCTTGGGGGGGAGGGGGGGCGAGTCGTTTGGTTTTGGGGAGGGGGGTAGGGGTGTTGGTTTCAGTTTGTTTGTTTCATTAAGACCAGCTCTTTCTTTGCAAAACCAGCCTTCTGTTCTCCACTGTGTCTTCCCAGAGCTGGTTATTCCCAAAGATCTTGTCTGCACTTGCCCTTACTTACCCTATTTGTTCCAATCCAGCTTTCTCTTACCCTACAAAATCAGTCTGAATCCCCAAATCACTCTGAATTCCAATTCCACCTTGCAAAGCCTTGTCACCTTGTCCAGCCTGGACTGCAAAGCACATACATTAGCCAACAATTAGTCTTATCCATGCTGTTAATGAAAAAGCATTGACCTGGGCTAGAGATTGCACACCTCAACTGACAAACTCTGCTACGCAAGAACAAACTATTGATTAAGTAACACTTTCTAAGCCCTGCTTTCCATCAGGTTGAGTCCTTATGTTAAATAGTTTTATTTAGACTCAAGGTCCCTGCCTTATGTGGAGGCTGCCAAAAGCCATGCTAAAGCAAAGAGTTCCCATATCCACAACTTCTCCCTGGCAAAAGCTCTTACATTCTCGTAGGAGATTATCAGAAACAAACTGTGCCAAACTAAATTCATATTGCCCATCTCTCACCCTAAAACTGGAGACAAACTCAAGAAGTTCCTAGACTTATCTTTTCCCTTATTTATTTTAAAGGCTGACATCTTTGCCTTCACCAGTTTTCAATAAGAGCACCCACCCTCCCCCCACTAACTAACAGAAGTATTAATGGTTGGCAGGTTGCTTGTCAGTTCTCTAAGTGGTCTAGGATGAGCGACGGAGCATCCTGCTCATTTGAAAATAACTCCTTAGAAGTGCACTTTGACCTGTCCCCTCCCTGTTTTCTTTCATTCATAAATTCTTAACAGGCTGTGTCAGATGTTAGTCATAACCATGAAGTCTGTACAGCAAAACTTGTGAATGAAGATGGAAAATAATTAAAAAATCAACATCAAGCACTTTGATTCCACACCTGAAGAAGGTTTGTTTCTGGCATTTTCTTTAAATCTTTACAGTTATCCGAAAAGATTCCACATGTATGGCTAATGCAGTACTTTACAATCTCATATCATGGATAGCTGGGAACTAGCTCAAAGCCACTCTCTCCACAGATGCCAGTGAGCACAGGTGCTCCACAGCACTCAGATTTCTTTCCATGTTTTCAGAAGCCCACCTGGATTATCTCCCTTACTTTCTGCAGTAAGAGAGAGCCCACAGGAAGGGTTGGGTTTGCCTCTTTAAGATGTTCTCTCTTTAAAATGGCAGCATCTGCAGACATCTCACGGGAACCATGAATTACTTTTGCTCCCAAGATTTTTCATTATGGGATCCAGTTTCATACACAGGATAGAAAAAGCCTCAAACCTCTCAGCATGCCCAAAACTGGAGGATCTTGCCCGCTGGCACCCACCACGCTGGAGTCACTTCAGAAATTATCGTATTCAGGAGGAGAGGCTGCCTATTACCTTCACCAGAAAGACAACTACAGACTTGGGTAAGATCTGTGAGTGTCCTTTTCCTTCCCCAGGCCCCTGTACTTGCGTAAGGTCCATAAAATCTCCTCTCCCAAGTTTTCCCCAAGGATCTTAACAGTTTTAGCCAAAGCCAAGAGAGAAGTGAAAGGCACCTACAGGAATGAAAGAAGATAAAACAGCAGAGCAGTTACTGCTCTTGTGAATCTTCCCAAAACCAGTTTGTTTCAATGGCAAAAACACTCATACCACATGCTGAACACAGCCTCGTATCTGTAACCTTCTCCCTTTGTGCGAGAGAGAAGCAGATGTTCGAATGCCTTCTGCAGCCTATCGTCTGGAAATGCTAGAAGCCCATTTTTCTTTACAGCCCCATCAAGGTTCCTTAATAACATGGTGTGTTGAAACAGCATTATTTTCCTTCATCCCTTCGCTGTTATTTGCTTGTATCATTCCCACGTGACTGCTTCTATCATGCTCTTTTACTGCGATTGATTATCCATTATATCTGCAGTCACCGAATGTGTCTCCATCTCCACTGAGCAGCTCCTGAGTTGTAATTTCTCAAAGCCCCAAGAAACTATCCAAATATCAGTTTTTGCTTCAGTCGTAGGTCCCACTGACCACCTGGTACCTAACTGGAGCAAACAGCACAACACTGCACCTATCTACACCCTTCCCAGATATTCTGCAGAGGAAAAAAATATTGGTAACTCATCATGGTTCATGCTTGCATCCTAGAATAGAAGTTTGCAGAAGGCTTATTGCTCCTTGTAAAGCCAGTAATAAAAACCTGTTGGCGTCGAATTCACAGTTACACGAATTGCTAAACATCCAGAAATACATGTTTTTGTTTTCCCCTAAAGCTCTTACATGGTCTGCGACTAGAAGTTTTAAAGAATGGCTATTTCAGTTAAAGGCACTATTTTTTAATCAAACTGGTTGTACCAACAAAGGCTGTAATATAGGCTTTGCCAGCATAATCCTGCACAGGAAACGGAAAACTAACTCTGCCGGTGTCTGAAACACTTGTATTGCACACATACACACATTGCAGGGATCAACAGAGCTGAACTCCGCAGGGTGCCCTTTACCTACCTAGTACAAAAGGGTACATCACGAAGTTTATGTGAAGGACATCATCCCCAGTCAGGATACCTGTGTACTCTATTAGCAAAGCACTCCTACAGTGAAGGTAGCTACCTCTGTAAATCTGGATTTTGTGCAAACAAAGTAAATTCAGGAAAGGTTAGACACAGTCACATTTTCAGCGATGGTTTGCCAGTACAGCGGGAACACCTCACAGAGTTTACGGGATCACATTTCCACCATCCTGACTCGCACTGCTACGCCAACAGAAATCTAACATTTTCAAAAGTGTTATCTGCAGTCTAGACAAATTGACAGGGTGTCTGGCAGTCTAGAGGTAAGCTGATAGCTAACAGTGGCTTTTCCTTAAGAGGGACTGTAAAGACTAAACTAGAGAAAGCCCATGTCTCTTAACAGTACAAGCTTTTATAGGTATTTTATGCTCTTCTTCCTCAGCCCAGCCATGCATTTTTATTTTCTTATACATCACACCGATGCTGACAGTAAAACTCTATAATATCTAGTACTCCCTCCATAAAAGAAAAACTCATTAATATGCTCCAGCTGCGTTAGGATACTTTCACATGAATTTATGAATATTCAATTTCCATCTAGTGCTCAGTTTCTTTGTGTCTGGCCACAGCTCGCTTGAAGAGAGGCTGTCAAAGATCTCATAATGCATTCATTCGCTTTGAGCGCTCATGTTATGAAATAGGAAATATGTTTAATATTACTACATCACAGCCTCAACTTTCAAGACCCAGTGGCAACTGGAGGCAGTCAGCATCTTGCCCAATCAACCTGCAAATACAAACCTTGTCCTGCAGCAAGCAAGGCCTTTCACAACACAGAAACCTGCTCAGAGCCGCGCTTGTCGCCGCAGAACAAAACGTCTGTTGTCACCACACTGGAAGCAGATTTCTTGCAAAGTTGAACACACATCTGAGGAAAAAACTTGCAGGTGTGGGCAATTTTTCAGCTCTTGTGAAAACAGCCTGGCAGTGGGAGAACAAATCACCGAGCACAACTGCAAGAGAAATCCTCAGCTGGTACCAACAGCCAAGCATTCGAACTGACTTGAAAGCCTTCAGGCAGACACCTCAACATGACAGGGTGATCAGTGAGTTATTTCCCTTCTCAAAGCTGGGAGAAACCAAGATGGGGCAAGTGCTCAAGCTCTGTTGCAGTACAACAGGATCTGAGCAACTAAGCATGCTCCTGGGACAGGTGACCCAAAACTGACTAACAGAAACATTCCATTCCATATACATTATATTCAGTACAGGTCTGAGGGGTCACCAGGGTTAAGCTCTCTTCTTCAGTGGCCAGTGTCTGAGGAGGACTTAGTCCATTCTTCTGCCTTTGATCCCAATCCTGAGTTCCCAAATCCAGTGCTCATATGCGGTTCCCCTCTGCCGCCTGGCCTGGGACTTCCCCAGTGCTGCCTGCTCTGCAGCATCAGTGGGAATTGCTATTGAGGGAGAGCTGGGATCGGTATCGACTTCGCATATACATTTCCATTATTTTCCTTATTAGTACTACTATTGGTTTATTAAAGCTGCTTCAGTTTTCTTTTCCAATCTGTAAGCCTCTCTGCCTTATTTCCTTTCCCTTCCCCTCTGGGGAGGGAGAGGGGCTAGAGGGCATCTGTCATTCATTTAGTGGTCTAACCCATGACAGCCACATATCAAGTCACTCACAGAAGTCCTAACAGCAACAGGAGAGAAGTCAGACGTGAGTCTCCAAGCAAACACTACAGCAGGTAGAGGAAATGGTACCACTCGGGAGAGGATTCAAAGCCACAGGTACCTCTCCAGCTGTGAGCACTGTATCAGTTCCCTTCCAGGAAAAAGTACTGTCCTTGTAAATCAGACTTTCATCCAGCCCCAGAGGACAGCGACCTTTCAAGTGCTAAGTGCTGAGCACAATTCATTTTCATCGTTCACTTCCTTGGAAAAAAGGTAATGAGACAAATCTAAAAATGAGTGACCAGCCTGAAAATTGGTTTAAGCTTCTGCAAATCCATCTATCATTCAAGGCACAAGATTTCTTCTAAACAAGTTCCACTGGTGCACTGAACATTACATAGAGAAAGGAAGTGGGAAAGATTGCTGTCAGCAAGATGAAAAACTGTAGCGCAGAGCTGGGTTGGAAACTGGAATTTACAGTGATGGGCCATTAGATTAATGACAAACAGCCGCGGAGAGCTAGACACAGACCAGTCTATAGGAGTAATTATAATCTGTTTATCTAAATTTCACCCTAAAATAAAAGCATAATACTGTCAACATCTTCTCCCCCCCAACCTTCTAATTTACTGGGTACTCTTAAAGCACCGTCCTAAGTATGACATAGTTCTTACACGCAAGGGATCCCAGCTTTCTGTTGTCAGCCCCTCTGCAGACGTTTGCACTTCTATTGCATAACTCATCACCAACTGGCATATCAGTCCACTGCACAGAGGGAACGGCAAGATGAATGGCAATGGAAGAAACATGACCACGACTTAAATGGTCCTTTGTGATCCTCCAGGGGAAAGGACTGTGCCTAAGACATCAAAATTCCAGCAGCGCTTTGTGCAGCTAATTTCTTCCTACCATCAGCAAAGGGCACTTCAACGCAACCAGAGTATCAGGACTTGCATGGCTTCCATAAAAACAAGCAAAAACTGAAAGTCTCTCCAGACCTACGCACTGAGCTTTGGCCTGCAGCGATGCAGCTCCCACGCATCTGCTGAGCAAGGCCAGCTCTTCCACTCACTGGGTCCATTTGCCACCAGCCAGCAAGCTGGGACCATCCTTGCAAAGACAGCGATGTGCACGGTTTTGGCCTTGCCACAGGACCTGTGGCACAGAGGAGTCACCCCTCCCACACCGTGGTGCTGCAGTGCTTAAATGCCCAAAGTGATCAGCTGGCATGATGTGGGACAAGGGCACTAGACAACATCCAGAGACACTTACCCACTTAGAGGTCTGGTTTTTCTAATCTCGAAGAACTGTGTTCCCGTGTGATTGTATCTGAATTTTGTCTGTTAAAGGAAAGTTCAAACAGCCAAACAATAAAAATAACAATGCTTAAAAGGTGACATTCAGTTCCAATTTCCAGCTGAAACATAAAGCAAGAAGTAAAAGCTGTTGACTCTCAGAGATGAAATCCTGGCATATGAAATAAAGCAATTTTTTTACTTGTCTTTTTATATATTAACCAGCATTAGGTGGAATATCAAGCAAAAAGGTTGTTTGTCTAAAATGACATTTAAATTTGACATTTGACGGTTATGGATTCTCTTTTCCTCTAGGTCCCACTACTATTAGGTTACAAGTTTGAAAACAAGTCTCCCGCTTGGGCAAGAGAAACCTTTTATAGTCTACCCAAACCAATCAACATCATTCATGGTTTGAAAGAACTTAATTCCTTTGTAAATTTTTAACTCAGACAGCCACACATCTCAGAGGTGACCTGTAAACCAAAAGCATGGCAGGTGCATACATAGGAAATATAAATTTTTCTCTGAAAAATACAATCCACTTGAAACAGAAACAATCAGTTAAGTGAAACTCAAGACCATTGGTTAACCCTCTGAGCATAGGAGAAATGTGCATTATGAAGGATGCCAGCAGTCATCCATCCATCAACCAGACCTCAGCATCACTTGTCTAGGAGTGCAAGCTACAATGCAGCACCAAAAGCAGCCTCTTCCCAGCTCCTTGAGCACAGTTGTTCAAGCAGTAATGCAGTAAATCAGATCCAGTAAAAACACACAACAAAAAACCCCACTCTCAACAACCCATCAAAAATTTAAAATAAAATACAAAAATAAATGACAGCACCCACTTACTTTTGCTAGGTTGTTTTTCCAGTTGAATATTTTTTTCCAGTCTAGTTTCCAACATAGCCATGAGAACACTCACGCCAGCAAAATTGCGATGGTGATACGAGGGCAGAAAAAGATGACCCCGTGGAGGCAAAGAGTACCTTGGGAGGCATAAACAGCACAGCTGCAGGCTGTATAACCATGGTCTAAATAAAAACTCCAGTTCACATCAGGATGCTCTGAACGAACTTCAGTTACAGTTCAGAATTCTCCAGAAATCAGGCTATGCTTCCCTCCTGCCTTCAAAACTTAACTCATGTGGCCCTTTCTGAGTGCTCTTAACAAAGCACAGAGCCTCTTTTAGCCCTCAACTGAAGCCCAAACCCTGTTCCCCAGCCCACTTCAAAGCTTTTCTCAATACAGATCCAAACCCCGTGCCTAAGGCCTGCTCCTGCTACGTAGCAGGGTGCAGGGTTTCAAAATCACTGGGGAGAGCATAATACAATTTTTGGAGCTGTGTGTGACATGGGCTCCTTTCCATCACAACCCCACTGAGCCTCTCATCCTGCCCAAGCAGGCGACACGCAGAAGGGACATGAGCCATCCCGCCGCAGCACAGGCTGGCCCCAGCCTCCCTCCCCACAGCAGCTGCTGCAGCTACAACCCCTGCTGCCGCCTTGATCCCAACCACTCCTCTGTGGCAGGAGAACCACGCCGGCTATTTTTGGATGCTCTTCCAGCTGCTAGCCATATCCTTTCTTAATCCTTACCAGGACTTTACATTCACTTCTCATCCCCACCACTTCCCCCCACACACACGCACACACAAAAAGGGAGAGTTTAGAAAAAAGGAAAACAGAGAGAAGAGCAGCATCTGGGCCAGGAACCATCTCCCGCAACATTATCTGTCAGCAATGGAAATGGTCAGGTATTAGGCATGGGGCAGCAATGGGGAGGCTGGACAGATGCATACATCTCTGATGAACTCTCCGGGCAAGGTGAGACATCTGGAAGTGAGGATTCCTTTGGTCAGTTCCTGTGTCATGAGCAAGCCTGCCTACCTCCAGGTCAGGACAGTTGCTTATGTCCCCCACTCCAGCAACAAACACCCCCTGCAAGCTGAGCATGTAGGCAGTCCTCAGGGAGCCCACAGGGGCTGCTAGGGGAGAAGGAGAAAGGGTTTGCCACAACTAGCCCTCCCTTAGTCAGTCTCTTTTATGACAAGATGCCATATTATTTCTCTAGGCATCACAATCCAATCATAATATCCTCATAAACCAACTTCAAAATAAGCATTTCTACTCCCACCGTCACTTCAGTTAAATTCTTCAGTATAATTTAAAGATAATTACATCTCCTAGAAGACTGCTGTGACAAGCTCAGTACTGCAGGTGCCATCACAAATCCTTAGAGGCATCCTTTTACCCCCAGATGATCCCAAGCCCTTGCAACCAGCTAGTGCTTTGGTAAAGCCCCTGTAAATTCATGCCAGGCACAAGCCAGCCTTCTCTCCAGAAACCACATGCTGGAGAAGGATACTGCAGCATCTTCATGTAGGTCTGTATTGCCTGAAGCCATTCCGGGATTGACATGGAAAGCTTGTAGTTTGGCACTGGAGGCACTGAGGGCTGGACATTAAAAAAAAAAAAAAAAAAAAAAAAAAAAAGGTTAAAAAAAAAAAAAAAAAAAAAAAGATAAAGAGGTTAGACAGTTACCACTCCTCACAGAGCGGATAAGTGATTTACTTGGGCAGCAGCACGTGCTTAGTGCAATGCAATGCAGCAGCACAGATGGCTTAAACCCCACGTGAACAAAAGCATCAGGCAAAGCCATCTCACTGACAACCACGGCTGCCCATGCACCAGAGCCAGTCCCATCCCTGCCAGTGCGGTTCCCCACCACGTCAGGCTGCTCATCATACCCATCGCCATCCCTCAAACACCACCCTACATGTGCAGGCAGTCCAGCACCAAAGGCCAACGCTTGCCATTTTTCCCCTCTAGCACAGGGCCGTTTGGATGAGCAGAGTCCCATTGCTGGCTCTGCCATCCTCCCTCCCCCAAGAAGGCATTTCAAGTCTAATTTTTGGTTTTCTCCACCACAAGAGAAAAATAAAAGGAGACAAAGATCCAGCACTACATAATTTCCCATCTGTTGCATGTCAGCAGCACACTTGTTTGGCAGGGAGCTCACGGTACCTAGAAGACCACCTGGGACCCAGATATTTAATGATAATAAGGCACTTAAAGATATAGACTGGCAACATAATGGGATTTTTCCAAAATCCCGTAAGACATCTGCTTGTGCCTAAGCACTTTAAGAAGCCAGGCCCGCAATCCGTAATTAACCCCCACAGCTACCTGGCTCCCGAGCCTGTAATCACGCAGGAAAGGGGCACAGCCTTGTCCCAAGACCCCTTATTTTCAGGGCAAGACTGCAAAATATGGGGTCAGCAGATGTTAAAGCAGACAGCTTGGCTGAAAAGAAGCCAGTACAACAAATGCATTATAGGAAACAGTTTATTTAAATATTGATGCAGACCCAAATTCAGGAACCAGCAACTTGAGCAATCATGAAAGCAAGGCACAAAGGAAAGGTGTGGTGTGTGCAGGCCCATAACATCTTTACAACAGTGTGACGATCAGAAAGTGAGATGTCACTGTTCTAAATACACTTTAAGCCAGCAATTACAGATAAGAAATGCCAGTTTAGATGGTATGGGGCCTTCTCCACCACGCAGACTTTCCTCTTTAGTTCCCACCTCCACTAAGATGGAGGGATTGTGTGTTTCTGTCAGAGAGCAAGCACTGGCAATCCCAAAACAACCAAAACCAGCATTTACTACATGTAGTTTGTTACTACAGCCAAACTGTAAACACACTAGTCAAAACAGAGACTCCTACATTGCTGGCATACAGAAATGTATTTTCAGCAGGCAAGCAGACAGATGGCTGGGCCTCCAGCTCGCAGCTGCCATCCCCAGCACCACACGGGAGACAACCCACAGGCGTAGGAGTTACGAGCAAGACTCATTAAGGCTCTTAATCGCAATTTCCACATCTAAGCTCTTCATTAGAGGTAATTTTTTTTTTGTTTCACAAGTTCCTTCCACCCCTGGCCCCTTTGGTGTGGATGAATTACCCACCTGTCCCTCCGGGCACTAAGGCTGAACTGGACTCAACACACCCGACAGGGCTCCAGTTTCAGGAGCAGCAGGAGGCAGAGAGAGGGAAACCCTTCCAGGGGCAGTCATTGCTATTCCAATGTAAACACTCTTTTTCGTCAAGGATGAAGAAACTCTTAAGTGCACTCATTGCATTGACACAACACGAAGTGCCAAGGCAACAGGAGTCCCTGCCTGCAAGAGGCGTGGCTGCTGCCGAGCGTCTGAGGGGACTGCATCCCTTCCCAGCTCTCCACAAAATGGAGGCCTCTATCCCCACCCAGCTGTGGGACAGGACAGTATCCCATAGGGACCACAGCAGTGCAGAGGGATGCAGCCCTCGCTGTAACCCACGGGAGCCATCCTTGTGGGTTTGGGCCTCCAGGCGAGGTGCTTCTCAGTCTCCAAAGTGGAGGATGATGGCGTCAGCCACTGTGGCGCGCTTGGGTAGAGAGAACCAGTGTTTCCCCAATGGCTGACGCATATCCCACCACGTTACCTCAGCAGATCTGCCAAGCTAGGAGGCCCAAGCCTCTCCAGATCTCAGGCAATGAGTAAGAAGTAGCCATCAGTCTTCCCCCATGCAGGGCAGCACACTGCTCTCCTCTTTCCAGTGCCAGGCGGGCAGTACATGGCACCATGCTGCCAGCCAGGCTGTGCCACAGACACTTGCCACTCCCTCCAAACAAAACCCATTTTTTCCTAAAAAAACTCCTACCCCGGGTGCAGAAGCACCAATCCTGGGCACTCAGCCAGCACAGAGCAGAAGCCAGGGCTGCCCAATACCACAAGCAAAAGAAAGAGCAATGCTGCTGTGGTTGAGGCTGCAGCCCTCGAGGTATCAGTGCACATCCCAGGGCAGCGGCCAGGAGCCGGTGAGGACTCATAGCAGGAGGCCCAAGCTGCCAAGAGGAAACAGACACAGCACTGCAGACCTTGAATTCATAAAGGAAGTTAAATTCAGGGACAAGGTAGATGAAAAGCCCTGACCCTGTATCAGTATTTCCAAGCAGTGGCAGCTCCAGAGACAGCAGAGCCACTGAAGTGCAAGACCATGTAGCAGAGCTGGAGACCATCATCCTGTGGCTGGAAACACTATAGTCTCAGTTCACCACAGATATCCTGTGAGAAACTCATCTTGGCTGACTCCACTGTGTCTCATTTAATGACCAGAAAGTCATTTTCTGCTAGCTCATCCTGCAAACATGCTGTTACTTAGCATGGATGAGGCTGGCAGGCTATAGCCCTCAAAGCTGGCAAGAGGTTTAATGAATTAAGATCGTAAGTACCTCCAAGATCACAGGCCCTGTAAAGGACTGTACAGCCCTTTCAAACCAAGACCCCACAAACTTCCCAGAGCTCAAGTCAAATGTCAGAGGCGAGGGGTGCAATGAAGGGACTCCTCAGGTTGCCAAACTGCCCCCCTTGAAAACAAGTCAGCTTTTTCTGAGGACTCTTCCTACCAGGATAGATGCAGCCCTGCACCCCTGCAGTCTGCATTCACTCCAGTAAGGACAATCTCACCAATACAGTTAGAAGCTACTTACCGCCCTGCATGTATGATCGCTGAGACTAATACCAAGACGATTAGAACAATCAAGACAAGCTTCTCGGGGAGGGGGTGAAAACTCTCTCCCATCACTAGGAATTAAGAACAGATCAGATGCAAAAATGGAGCAGCTGCACATACTACTTGCTCAGCCTTCAACTACCAGCGCGGATTACAGACTGTCTTCTCACAGGCACAAGTTCCTCTCATCACTCCTGATCAGCGCTACCTGGTCTTTTGCAAGGTGTCATACACCCAGCAGCATAACCCAATTAAAAAAGCTGCACCATCATTTAAGTAACAACTTTCCCTTCATATTCCTTCTCTGACCCAGAAGAATCATCACAACTTTAGTAACCCACTACCACTGTGTAGCAAACAAACCTGCTCCTAACCTTCATTTGCTCACCTGAGATCTGCTGGCCTTAACAAGGATCAGGTGGTCCTCAAACCACCCTCTGACCCCAGAGCTCCCCAGTTTAGCCAGCAAGAGCTAGCTAGTCATAGGGGACACCAGGCCCTTCTGTCCCTGAAGAAGTTAATCACTCTGACATAGAGTTTGCTGCCAGACAGTGCTGGAAGAACACAATACAACTTACAGCACTCTCCACTGATCAGCAGCTAGCAGCTAACATTAAATGATTTGGCCAAGCAGATTTCAAAACATCTTTCCTCCTACCCAGCTCCACCACACACCACATCAAGTCAGCCTTGTGATTTGGCACCTAGGAAGAAGCCACAGGCAATGGTCTCTCGGGCGATCTGGCGGGCAACATGCCAGCCCATCGGAACCACTGGCACCTCTCTCACCAGATACTTTGTCAGTCACTACAAGTACAACCGGCAAAAGTTACACTCTTTGGAGCTGAGAAGTAAAGGAAGGTATAGTCCAGCGTGTCCTTTCCCATCACTTAAGCCCCCAAGAGATCTGCAGGCCATTCAGACTAGGGTAAGCTGGTCATGCTGCTGAAACAAATTTTGCCCTCTCCCTGCCTCTGCCCCTTCATTTCTACCTCAAGTGCTTCTGCAAGTATGAGATGAACGACATCAAGGAACCGCAAAGAAACCCAGCGTAACCACATTATTCTTCAGCTGAATCTGCTCCCCGATACAAGCAAAGGTTGGTGCCAGCACGAGGGAAGTAGAGGAAGGGGGAGAAAGAGATTGCTCCTTTTGCACTGATACTGAACTAAACAGTGCAGAAGAGACGTCAAAGGCCTTTCCAGCTCACATCTTTCTGACAAGCACCTTCACAAGACACCCCTGCACAATATACTTCCAACTTCTGCGTGCACAGAATGTTTCCTTTTTGCCTCACGTAAAGAACAAGTACACATATCCCTGACAGCCTGGACTATGACAAGGCCAGCTTGACCATCTCACCCCAGCTTGCAGAGGTAAGAATCAACGCCGACTTCAGCGGTCAGCTCAGATTAATGCTGTTCGGTGGGAGGAGTGAATCAAGCTCCAAGTTTGCCAAAGACGAGAGCAATAAAGACTTTGGGATCGGTAATTCTGCACAGCAGTGCGAAGTCTTGGAACATCAGCAGACAACATTTTATTTGCTGGCTGGAGGAAAAAAAGACTTGGGCTGGGCAGAGCTGTTTGGAGCTTATACTAAGGAACAGACAAAACAAAAGCATTTGGAATCCTTCCATGTACTGGAAATGAAACGTCCAAGTTTTAAATCATTTCTGGAGCAAAGCTGTGTTTGAGGAAACGCCTGTGTTCCACAGAGCTGAGCAAAACGTGCTTTAAATTGCACAAAGCACTCCATTCGCTCCCTGACGATTTAATATTTGCTCTTCCTTTTGCTTTTTTTCCCTCCCCAAGTGAAAACACCAATTTTCTTTCCACTTGTTTCCCAAGGCACCGACTCCAGCTCCCGAGCATCCCGTGGCGCACGTCCC